GCTCAGGATTTGCTCGGGAGGAGCGGGATTTTCTCTGGAGGAGCAGGATTTGCTCGGGAGGAGCGGGATTTGCTCGGGAGGAGCGGGATTTGCTCGGGAGGAGCGGGATTTGCTCGGGAGGAGCGGGATTTGCTCAGGAGGAGCAGGATTTGCTCGGGAGGAGCGGGATTTGCTCGGGAGGAGCAGGATTTGCTCAGGAGGAGCGGGATTTGCTCGGGAGGAGCAGGATTTGCTCGGGAGGAGCGGGATTTGCTCAGGAGGAACAGGATTAGCTGGGGAGGAGCAGGATTTGCTCGGGAGGAGCAGGATTTGCTCAGGAGGAACAGGATTAGCTGGGGAGGAGCAGGATTTGCTCGGGAGGAGCGGGATTTGCTCGGGAGGAGCAGGATTTGCTCAGAGGAGCGGGATTTGCTCAGAGGAGCAGGATTTGCTCAGGAGAAGCGGGATTTGCTGGGAAGGAGCGGGATTTGCTCAGGAGGAGCGGGATTTGCTCGGGAGGAGCAGGATTTGCTCAGGATTTGCTCAGGAGGAGCGGGATTTGCTCGGGAGGAGCAGGATTTGCTCAGGATTTGCTCAGGAGGAGCGGGATTTGCTCGGGAGGAGCGGGATTTGCTCAGGAGGAGGAGCGGGATTTGCTCGGGAGGAGCAGGATTTGCTCAGGAGGAGCGGGATTTGCTCAGGATTTGCTCGGGAGGAGCAGGATTTGCTCAGGAGGAGCGGGATTTGCTCGGGAGGAGCTGGATTTGCTCAGGATTTGCTCAGGAAGAGCAGGATTTGCTCAGAGGAGCGGGATTTGCTCAGGAGGAGCGGGATTTGCTCAGAGGAGCGGGATTTGCTGAGGAGGAGCGGGATTTGCTGGGGAGGAGCAGGATTTGCTCAGGAGGAGCGGGATTTGCTCGGGATTTGCTCGGGAGGAGCGGGATTTGCTCAGGAGGAGCGGGATTTGCTCAGGATTTGCTCAGGAAGAGCAGGATTTGCTCAGAGGAGCGGGATTTGCTCGGGAGGAGCAGGATTTTCTCAGGAGGAGCAGGATTTTCTCGGGAGGAGCGGGATTTGCTCAGGAGGAGCAGGATTTGCTCAGAGGAGCAGGATTTGCTCAGGAGGAGCGGGATTTGCTCAGGAGGAGAAGGATTTGCTCAGGAGGAGCAGGATTTGCTCAGAAGGAGCGGGATTTGCTCGGGAGGAGCGGGATTTGCTCAGGATTTACTCGGGAGGAGCGGGATTTGCTCGGGAGGAGCGGGATTTGCTCGGGATTTGCTCAGGATTTGCTCAGAAGGAGCAGGATTTGCTCAGAAGGAGCGGGATTTGCTCGGGAGGAGCGGGATTTGCTC